GCGAGTGGGGCAGGACACTGTCCTGGCAATGGCGCGGCCACAGCTTCCAGACCCCTCTGAGAAGTTGGAGGACAATCCCTTCAGACCCGGACGCACGGTGCATACAGAGAGTCAGAACACAGCAGCTCCGCGCCCACCCGTGCTCCCCACTCCACAACTTTTCTCTTTTGTGCCAACTCATTTTCGAGAAAAGCCACGATGGGTAAAACTGGTTAAAAGAGCCCGTCACTAAGCCTTAGAAACCATAAGACGCGGTAAGAGATGGTTGTCAGCACCGTCGTCACAGCAACTTGTAACCAGCCCACATGGGTCCATTTCTTACATTTAATCCCGGAATCCATAGTTTCTACAGATTATCCCCTGCCCTATCTAAAAATCTTTTTGGAATTTGAAAATAAATAAATAGGTGTAAGTACATTCAGAAAAAATACATTCAGAACAAAAGAAAAGCCCTCAAGATAGAACACAGCGGAATAACTCAGTGGCGAGCACTCGAGTCCCCCGCCGGCCACACCACCTGTGGGTGCGCGCAGACCGCGCCCCACCTGCCCGCTTACCAGGCATCTCTTCATCTGGAAGGACTGCACCTTGACAGCCTGCACAGCCTCATCCAGCAGCTTCTCCTGCTCGTCCTGCGGGGACTGCTGTGTTGTAGGCTGCAAAGCAAGAAACGCCTCCGTGAGTCTCACCCGCACTCTCTTCTCACACCTCGGCTATGCCTATAGCTTCACCGGATCCCTTCCCCAGGCTTCCCGGAGGCTCGGCCCGAGGAACATCCCAAACCCACCGCAGTGTCTGACGACTACTGCACAGAGCGCTGTGCCTGGTCCTGAGGTCAGCGCGACACTGAGGAGGAGGAGGCCCGTGTGCAGAGAACGTATTCTCTCTCCAGGACTGACGGAGCATCCCCCTAACAGGTGAGCCTCGAAGAAACCCGAGGGCCAGTTTATGCTGCCTCGGTTCTGCTGGCACGCTCTGAATCCACCCCAAACGCAGCTATCAGACAACCCCATACATATATATATATTTTTTATTGATGTTTCAGAGAGAGAGGGAGAGAGGAAGAAAGAGAAACATCAACATCTGTCAGCTGCCTCCTGCGTGCCCCGTGCTGGGGACGGAGCCAGGGACCTCTTGGTGCATGGACCGACGCTCAACCACTGGGCCACGCCGGCCGGGCAACCAACCCCAGGCTTGTGAAGGTTTCCATTCTGCCTGAGTCTCTGAAAGCATCTTTCTCTCTAGACTACTTTCCACCTGCACTTTAGTCTCTCCTTAGACCAAGGAAGTGGTTTATGGAACACCGACCCCCCTTAGGCAGTATGTAACGAGGACTGAACAGCTAGGAAGAAACCAGCTGGACTTAGTGCAGCAGACAAGATACTCTCCCAGTGCCTCGCTCATCACTTCAAACACAGACCCAGTGATGTGGACACACGCAGGGTGGGGCAGAAGTAGCTGACAGTTGTTGATATAAAAATAATATAGTAATTAATAGTAATACAGAACAGCACCTGTGCTTTGCGCACTCAGGGCCGTAAACCTGCCTGTATGTCTAGGTAATCTGCGCCGTCACGCGGAGAAACCTGCTCCCAACATGAATTAGACCCGCCTGTGAGGCAGAATTAACCGCCATCCTCTCGCTGTTGCATAAACACTGTGTGTGCACCTCAACCACAACTGGGTCACGTTATAATTATAAGTGATGGTCATCTGCACATCCTTGGGACCCAACACTGCCTGACACATAATGGACGTTCATAAACGTCCAACGAGTGAATGGATGAGCTGGTGTTAGAATGTTCAGAACCCTCAAGTTAACAGAAAATTACTAGAGAATCAACAGCTGAGTGGATAAACAAGCGATGGTATACATAAACAACAGGATGCTATCCAAGCGTACAAAGGAAAGCAGTATTGACACTGCTCTGGGAGTGAACCTAGAAACCTGTGCTACGTGAAAGAAGCCAGACACAAGACCATGTCGCATGATTCCGTTTGTATGAAATATCCAGAACAGGCAAATCACCCCAGGAAAGGTCGTAGGTGGTCACCAGGAGGGAGAGTGGGGAGTCATGGCTTAAGGAGGACCACAGGGTCTCCTCTGGGTGACAGATGCTTGGGGACTAGACCGAGGTGGGGGTTGTACAACATTGTGCTAAAATGCCACTGAACTGCTCACTTTTAAAAGGTTTATGTTATGTAAATTTCACCTTAATTTAAAAAACGGCTAAAGAAAAAATGGAAACGCTACAGAATCAAGATCAAATTGACACTGGCGATTAGGCCCCTTTTAGCTCGAGACCCAAACCGACAGCACTCCCAGGCCCACACAGGTGTGAGGCGCAGAGAAAAGCAAAGGTCATTGTGAGCTCAGCAATCACAAACTCCTCCCCATTCCACCTCCCCTCCTATCAAACGGGGAGGCCAGGAGCACGCACACCAGTTATGAAGAAGGAAGGAAATGCACTCAGCACATGCGCTGCAGAAGTGCCACCGCATCACTATGGCCCCCTGGACACAACCCATCACCTCCTCTCGTCCCAACGCCTTGTCTGCTGGCCCATCTCTCCACTCACAGGCGGCACACGGAGCCTCACAACACAACCCAAGTCAACTGCAAAGTGAAAATGACCCGCTCGCAAGTAGACAGACCACCACGTTCATGAAAGAGCAGCTGAAAACATAAGGCACAAAATACAACTGACCGAGGGCAAATAGGGACGGACGAGGAGGGGGCGGAGCTCAGGAGGGAGACCATCACCTGCCTGCGCCCTGTCCTTCCTGGGCTCCTTCCCAGCTCCCCAGGCGGCCTCGGGCCCGGGACCCACCACAGGGCTGTGGTGCTGGCACAGCATCGGCGACCCTCCATCCTCCACCCACCTGTCCTCCCCCCAGGCCCCTAAGCTCCGCGAGAGGACGGTTCCAGCGCTGGGCACAGTCCTGATGTACAAGGCACACAAGGTGCTGGATGAACTGAACTGCATCCTAGAATTCCAGGATGGGAAGAGCCAACAAGGCCAACACTTGTTTCTTTGTTTTCTTTCTTTCTTTTTTTAAATGTTTTTATTGATTTGAGAAAGAGAGAAAGGAAGGGAAAGGGAGAGACAGCAACATCAGTGATGAGAATCATGGATTGGCTGCCTCCTGCAGGCCCCACGCTGGGGATGGAGCTGCAACCTGGGCCTGTGCCCTTAACTGTGAATGGAATCGTGACCTCCTGGTTCATAGGTCAAAGCTCAACCTCTGAGCCAAGCCCGCCGGCCACTGGTTTTCAAATGCAAAAGTAAGGCTCAAAGAAGACTGAGTGACCTGCCCAAGGCAGACAGTGACCAGCCTGGCACTCGGGTTTTCTCTCCCAATAAAATGCACGCGCACAGGACGGTGGGTCTGGCTCCCTGCTCCCGACCGGTCCCCCGGCACAGAAACGGGGTGTCTAGCAGGAGAGCCTCAATGAAGGGCTTCCGTTACAAAACACCGTGTCAGTCTATACATGTGGGGAAGCTGACAAGCCCCAGTTACATGTCTGCCCTGTTCGGACGGCCGCTCCCAGCTGTACCGTCTGGGAGACGAGCCACATGGCCTCGCGGAGCAATACGCCACCCGGACGGGTGTGGGTCCTCATCTATGCTGCGCTCCGGCCCCCACGCGGGAAGGGCAGCCCGCGTCCAGGGCCCGTCTGCACCGGGTGCATGCGAGGTCCTTCAAACGGACCTACGGCGCCCCACACACACATCCCGCAGCCGCTGCGGACTCTGAAATAAAATGCAAGTGACAACTCGCCCTCGTGGGAACCAGGCACCGGGCGCACATTTTGGGGAAGTTCCCGTTTGTGCGGGGGAGAATGCCGCTCCCAGCGAGGGGGACGCGTGGATGTGGTCACGGGGGAGACCGGCGAGCCGCCAGGTGCCCAGGACCACGCGTCACTAGCGACCAGGTAGCGCGTCCTTCCAGGAAACGCACGTCAGCGAGTCCCTAGAAACCGCTGGCAGGCACCGCGCTCCGGGAGGCGACGAAGCCGGGCAAGGCCCGGGCACCGCTCCGGTCCCTCCCGTGGGCATTTCCTACACCGGAGAGGGCGTGGGGCCGGCGGGCACTGTCAGGACTATAAGTATTAATTAGGGCTGGGTCCTTATTAAAAACAGATGATCCAAAAAGCAATGAAAAAAAATAGTTGATCTTGATTCACCTGTAGGCAGTTCTAAATTCTAGTTGCTCAGCTACCTTGTGCAACATTCTCCCTCTGTGATATTTCAGAAATGCCACATTCTGCATTTATATAGTCCTAGGTT